AAGAGGGGACCCCTAATACCTCTAGATGCGATTGACAGGTAACACGTTCGTAAGCATCCCCATTCATATTCATTGTGCATCCGACGGACTTGGGGAACTTTCCAGCAGGACAATGCGACATCATGTACGTCCAGAATTGCTGATTGACTCCAGGAACACTTTTCTGAATTTAAACACTTCCACTGGCCACCAAATTCCCCAGACAACATTATTGAGCATATCTGGGATGCCTTACAACATGCAATTCAAAAGAGATCTCCACTCCCTCCTACACTTTAGAGTTTATGGACGGCCCTGTAGGATTCATGCGGTGTCAATTACCTCCAGCACTGCTTTAGACATTAGTCGAGTCAATGCCACGTCGTGTTGCGCCACTTCTGCGTGCCCGCAGGGGCCCTATACGATATTAGGCAGGCGTACCAGCTTCTTTTGGCTCTTCAGTATATACGGAAAGTTATGTTTTGCTGCGGAAAATCGATTTCGAGATGTCAACGGAAATAAACGTTTTGTGTTCCCCTTTTTTTCTTTTTTTTTCTGAAATGGATACTTCCCGGTCGTTCTGGCTTGACTCGAGGCGCTGCGATTTTGAAAAACTCTTTAAAATTGGCTGGTACTTTACATGAAGCCCCATAGGAATGACCCCGCACCTCCGTTAGGGGGACGGCTCTGGGTGGTGAAGCGAGCAGCGAGCTACCCACGGCGGCCGCGGCCGCACTCAGGGTGAAAGGCGGCCCTTGACAAAAGGATCATGGACCCCGCGTGGTCGGGGACGCAGCGCGACAGGGCAGCCGCGGAGGAGCGGCACGTGGGCGGAAGTAATGTCACTAGCGTGCCTAAACATGCGTGTTTTTTTTATTTTTTATTTTTTTATTTTAAGTATTTATTTTAGTAGTTTTCGCGCAATATTGCGGTGAAATAAATCGACTCCGGTTGTAGTGAACTCCGATATAGTGAACTCACTAATCGCGTTTCACTTACATTAAAAATAAGCATAAGAATATTCGGTTATAGGAATTACAACGACCTGGAAATTAATTCTCTGCTGGAAAAGAATATATCGCTTCAGTGTCACAAATTCCAATACTAGGCAATCATAAAATAATATCAGCCAAAGCTCATAATTGAAGTCTTCCCTGAGGTGAACGTACCGGACGCGGATTGGGGTCCTTACTGATGACCTCATGCCACTCCGTTTCAAGCTTGATGTTACCGATATTCCGCGTATCAAAGCGCGTTGTATTCTACGTAGGCGACAGGAAGCGCGCGATTGCCACAGCCCCACAGGCTCCCGGTACGCGCCGTGCCGCGCGATAAAGCGATCAGATTCATTAGCCTCTTGGGCCTTGCCGCTACCGAAAGATCTCGTCTTACTAGGTGAGCAAAAGAACTTCTGAAGAGTGGGGCTTCCAACAGTGCACGAGGTATTCAAGGATGCCAAGACTGCTTTACGATACTTCCAGACAGTGGACGTTGCAGGATCAAGTATGGAGAGAGCACGAACTCTGAAGAAGGATCTAGAGAAATTGGTAATGAAAAATGTTCGAAACAAATTGAAAATTGTGTTTTTTTAAGGACAAATGAATATATTAAAATTTTCAGTTCGTGCTTTTAATGTATTTTCTGTATATCTACATTATTAATAAAATTAATCATTGTGGAGAAATTCTTTTTAATTTTGACGTCCTCAAGATAGTGAACCTCTGATGTAGTGAATCAAAAATGAGTCCCCTATAACCAGAGTCAACTGTATGTGCAATTTAAAAAAAAAAAAAAAAAAAATAACAAAAACACGATTTTCTCAAAAACAAGTCCAAATTTTTCTTTAAACTTTTCAAATGGTTAGTGCTAATTACACTCTTTAGTATATCAAAGTTCATTTTGGTGTACTATTTTGTTTTTTAAAAACATAGACAAATGTAATTTCTTTGGAAGATCTCTCATCCCGTTAATATGAACATTTCTACTATTTTGTAAATACTATGGTATTTGTGAGTTAAAGTGATTCAAATGTCTTAATAAAGTTTTTCGAGAACTCAAATATTTTCTTTGAAAACGAGCTTCAAATTTCGAATTTACAGTAACGCTTAAACGCCATTTTCTTAAAAACGGCTCCAAATTTTTCAAAAAAAATTGTCATTTAGGACGAGGTTATACTGTTGTTTATTATTCATAAAATAATGTTTCTGTTCTACTATTAAGAAACCAAAAAATTAGGGAAATTTCAAAAAAATATGTTTTGGGATTTGATAGATGGCAGCTGGCAGAAGTATGTGGCAAGTTTAAATAGCTAGCCGAGACCAAAAGAGACAGGAAATATATACGTGAGTCTGTGCCGTTCTTTTTCTCCACTAGTTTGAAACTAACTACTACTCTGCAATTTCATGGAGTGGTATAATAATAGTAAAGTGCAGGATGAAGTCTATTAGGTGTAAAAATTGTGAGAAACAATGTTATGAAGGGTTAAGATATTGTACAGGGCACATTTTAGTACATATTTGTAAGGTTTTTACTTCATAAATACATTTGTATATCATAGGTTATTAGTGCTTGCAAATCTTTTCCTAGTAATAAAGTTAGACAAAAGGCCAATAATCCTTTCTTTTTTTTTTCTTTCTGTCTTTCTTTCAAAATGTGGCTTTTGATCTCACCTTTAGCTTTTTTTATAAATGGTTCCTAAAATGAATTTCTATACTCAAAATATTCTGTTTAATTCATTAAATAATTATTCCTAGTTAGTTAGAATCTTTAAAAAATATCATTTGAAATGTTCTCAAAGATTATTCCTAATTTTGTCTTTAAAAAAATTCCTTCAGAAAAAAACATTTCCAGGATATAATGCAAAAAAACAACAAAACAATTAGTGTAAAGAATTCATTTTTTATGGCTTTTGCAATTACATTATGTAAACTACTATATTCAAGTTACAGAATCTGTGGGCACTAACAATATTGGTATATTTTTTGCAGCGATTCCTTCCTTTTAAAACTCTTCCCCAATTATCCAACTCTTCAAAGCTCCCGAGCAAACAGTTATACACATATGTGCATACACAATGCTGATTGCATTACTCATTAAAGAATATAAAAGTTTGTGCTGATACATTGCTCTCATTAGAAATATTTTGTCAAGTTTGTCTTGAAGGTTGAGAGTTTCATGTCAAAAAAATCAACCTTTTTTTTTTCTTTGTCCCCTCCACAGTAACCCTGTGAAGAAGAGGAATTTATTATCTATAAGTTTTTTATATTTTGCTGCTGCCTTGCGGCTTAAGCAGCTACAGGCAGGGCTTTTTCTTACAACTAACTTACAATCTAGACCTAAAGTTATCAAAATTAAATCAACCTTGTGTAATACATTTTTGTGTTTGTGAAGTAAGCCCCAAAAAATTGTTTTTATCTTAAAAAAATGTTTTTTGAACTTTTGCATTCAAATATTTATTTATCAATTCCAAAATATTTTTTAACCAATGAGTTATTACTGGTTCAATTGCCAATACGCATCATTTAAACCTTTTTTATTCATAAAAGTCTTTAGGTCATTTTTGGAACAGACCTTTCTGCTGTACCTCCTGTTACAGAGATTGTCAAAAACAAAATCAAGAGCCCCACAGACATCTAGATAGTTTATAGATAAAGTGTTCTATGAGAAGTAAATTTTCAACTTCTTTTACTGTAGTAAGATTTGAAATCTTATTTTTCAAACAAAGGCATTAAGACTGTGAATGTGTTGGTAGTCTGCAATGTTGGTATTGTATTTTTGAACAAGTGGTGATCTTTACAGATTTCCCTGAACATCATAGTTTGTGACTGAATACCTCTGAACGTCTTTCTAAGCCACTGTCTTATTTAAACTAACAAATCTTTCTTTTAATTTATTTTCTACAATGTCTAAACATACATAACATACATTTACTTTAAATCTATTTTCACTATCAATGAATCGTTTATCTTCTTTTAATTTGTAAGTGTTGCTTTGTTTTCTTTGTACATAATAAATTAACATTAATGAAACTTATCCATTGACTTTTTCTGATTACTTATGACACTGATGACGATACTTTCTAGAAGAATTGTGCACCTCTTGGTTTATTGAAATTCTTTACTCTAAAGCCCATGTTATAAGAAATATGGGCTGTATACTATATCATTTTAAAATTCTAAATTTTAATTTGTGTTCCCTTTTTTTTTTAAAGCTAAAAAAAAAAATTCCCCACTTAATGTAAATTAATAGACATCTGTCAAAAACATTTGAAATGCATTGTGTTATTCTTTAGAATAAAAAATTGAAATTATTTTTGTTCACTACATTGGAGGGCCCTTGGACTAGGAAATGACTTTCCAGTTGGATGTTATACTAGCGAAATCTTTTCAGTGTTCTTTATGACCAAAACTGACTAAAAAGTACTCCCATTTTCTGTAATTTTTTTAACATTTGGAAATCTAATATTTTTATAAATATATTTAACAGATGACAGGTAAAAAGTGAGATGATGTTATTGTTGCTCAGACAAACGTTTGTAATGATTATCAGTTGTTTTTGATAGTCTCTCTTTGCATGTGCACACACATGTTACTTTCAATTTTATTCACACTGCTAAAGAAACTAAAACATTTTGAATATTTATTTAGAACTAACATTATTCAGAATATCACCCAGATTATTATATTCCTAATTTAGATGAGAGCTTTTCAATCAATAAAATTACTCAGAGCTAGATAATAGACTACCAGTGTACTAAAAATATAAAACATTATAAAATAAAATCTTTTTTGTTTTTAATTTACAGGCTCTTCTGTAATGGTTTTTTATTATTATGTATTCAAAATTAAACATTTTCTCATTTTAACAATGTTCATCTGAATCCCACCCCATTAGAAAAAAGGAACAAGAAACGTAAATCCTCATGCACAATAAGTACTTCATCATTGAAGAGCTAAAGCAGCATCTATTGCAATTTTCTTTAATGCGGGCTTCGTATCAATCCATGACGTAAATAACACATTATGGTTCTTGCTGAGAGCAAAAAGTTGAGTATTCAAAAATATCTGCGCTTGATTAGTCATCGAAACGTCCGAGTAGCCGCGCCACCAGTCGCGCGGCCGCGTCAAATACCTCAGCCAGAATGCCTGCGAGAAGCGCAGTGTCTCTTCTGCCGCCGTGTGCATCACTATATGGTAAGATTAGCCTCCTTTTTGCGGGGTTTCTAGTAGTGCATAGGATATTGGAAACTATTCTCTAATCACAGAAAGTTATTTTTTGTAATAAGAATGAAAAAATATTTAGCAGCATTTTCGCTTTTTGTTGAATATGTTTCAGTGAATCGTCTCAAAGTTGGCAAAGGAAAATAATACTTTTGTCTTGCGATATGTTCGTTATACTAATATTCCATTCAGTTATTAGTGTCGCTGTATTTGTAGTGAAAATATAACTACTTTACAATAATTATACTGACTACTTGCACAATAGTTTTCAATATCAGTTTCCAGTAAGTTTTATAGTTATTTATTGTTTATTATTGCCTGGTATATTGAAATATGTGAATTGGAGATACGTGGTTATATTAAAACTGTTTAAGTCTGATAATCAAATTTGCTTTTACTAATCTTCAATATTATGTACGAAACTTAGTTTCTTGAACCTTCGACATTTCTTCATATTACTAATGCTGTAAAATTGAGATTAAAAATGTTGATGGATCTTTATTTCAGAAAAAGTTTGTCATTAATTATATTGAGTATTAATATTATAATTAAATAATATTAATAACAATAACTATAATTTTACTTTGTTATACAGCTGTGGGAAAACATTAGATGTCGTGCAGAGCCAAATTTTCTGAGAAACAAGAAAATCTTCAACACAATCAAATCGAACTCTAAGAGATTCAGAGAACACTTCCTAAGTGAATTGAACTTTATAATTTTGCCATTACTAGCAATTATACATTTATTATCTTCTATTTTTTTAAAGTAATTTTAATAGAGGTATTATTGCTTGTGTTAATACTTCGCGTGACATTTAATTGCCTTCTCCTAATTTCTGAATATTTACCATTATATTTCGGATATTTACTTCACTTAGGTTCATTCCCGTGCGTCTACAATTGCTGGAAACATATATTAGACATTGTTACAGTAACATAATTAATAAATAATAACCATACTTGAGAGCGGAGAGAAATTATTGAGAAAGTGATGTGGGGTGAAAAGAAACCCTTTACGACGTATAGATTGAGACAGCGCTATCGGAAAGCAAGTGGTAGAGGACTGAACTATGGGGCAAGAGCACGGTCCCCTCTAGTAAGTGGTCATGTGAAAGGGATGAGCAAAAGTGAATACATACTGTGAATAATAATAGCTGAAGCTGAAAAAAATATGCCTGCGTGTTGCATTTGTTAGTAGAATTAATTCACATGTAATTTAATGATATAATGGATTGGAAATTAATTCATTGAAATAGAAGAGCAAGTTGAGCACTAAATGAAAATGTTTCGTTTTGTCACCAGTACTACAGGCTCATAAGTCCTTTAAGAGGCATATGCTTAATATTACTTGGGTAAAATCTGATGAAGAAATTGCCATTGTCCTTTGAACTAGTAATGTTTTCGGAAATATTATTTGTACGTGAAACTTAAAGAAAATAAATTTGTTTGACAAGTTTTCTCAATTCTATAAAAAATATACAAAACTGACCAAATCTAAAATCTGAGTTAGACGCCGACAGAACCTAATATTCTAGGTTGTATGGGAAATTACTCTTAGATTTAGATTTATTCAGTCAAAAAAAAGTAAAAACTGTATATGACGTAGGGGGAAAAGATTACGGATTACTTTTTTCCGACAAAAGTAGAGAAAATTCTTTATTATTATAGAGTTATTTTCAGTTATATCGTTACGTGTTTCACTATTTTCTTCATATCTGCAATTTTGTTCCCACCCGTTTGGTTGTGTGTGTTGAAGATTCACTTAAAAGGTCTTTTTTTACTAAATTGACATTGTTGTTAAAATCAGAACAAATACCTGGATTTAGTGATCAACTGGATGAATATCTCGCTTTTAAAGTATGTTTTATTTACTTGTACTCTTTTTCTTGTAAATAGCTAGAAATATTTACTTTCGCCCCTGTCTTACACGCCCTCGAAAATATACTCGAATTTGTGATAGTTACGTAAAGTTCGTATATTGCAGCTTAGCTATACTACTATTATTTCAGTAAACCTTTGTTAAACTCTCATCACTTTGCGAAAATAACTGCATTCTGCCAATTGATTAATATCTAAATGTATGTTTACACTTGCGTACCTACACTAGCACAAGTATCACGACTTGGGTCACAATCCGGGTATTTGTATGAGCACATACTTGCTCGTATTATTGGTAACGGTTACGTAATACTATATTATACCTTCTACCCAACTAACACATCAGTAATCACTCGAAAAATGCAAACAAAATAATTCAAAATTACGCAAAAGCTACAAATTTTGAAAAAGATCATAAAATTATGTAAATATTTAATATTGTAAAATAGATAGCTTTGAGAAATAAGTTTTTAACTTTAATAATAGGTGAATAGAACAGGTTCGAAAAAAAATGAACATTGTCACCACATACTAACTCAAAATTACGCGCAAACGACTTTTAATTACTGCAAAGTTTACATGAAATAATTTAAATATCTTCAATTGAGAAATGGTTTCATTACAGAAAAAATCTACATCTTCAGTATTGAATGTGAAGTACACATATGAAAAACATTCTTTTGCACTTTTCGAAATTCCAGTTTGTTAATGGAAATTTAAACTTTTCATATTATTAAGCAAATGTTGCTATTTTTGAACCAAAAATGTGAGAAAGAAAAAAATTGTATCTGTGTACGAGAAATTAATGTTTTCGCATTTTTTAAATTATCACTATTACACTCACAATTAACCAAAATAAAACTTCTCATTTTCAACAAAATCTATATGACATTACTTCAAGATCTAATTTTGCCGAACATGTTTTATTACAAATACTACTCTCTCAAAAAGTGCCTAGCCATTGTTATGTAAAAAATTAAACAAATATTTATATCGAAACGAAAATTTTCGTTAATTTGGAGATTTCAATGGGAATCGCGTCTGAGCAATTTAAGAAGGATAGAGAGACTGAGCCATTTTCTAGAAAATTTCAAAAATGTCGTGGAGATTCATGTAAAGTACACCCCAGAATTAAAATGTACGTTTTAAATTCATGGGGACGCGACATTAACTGGATCGATGGAATTTCAATTTTGGTGAAAATCCTGTAAAGATTTAGGCGCCAGTGTTATCCAGGAGAAGAAGGTTTAGAAGAGAGAGAAGAGAAAGTAGGTTTAGAAAAAACAACAAAAAATAAACAATAATAACACTTTTCTAGTATCAGGCACACTGGAAACGCGAATGTTTTCCAATATTTCGACATCGATTTTTGCAGGTTGAAGTAACTTTCTCTGTACTATGCGTTCGAGAAAGTAAAAAAGAAATTAAAGCCGTCGAATTGTTTGTTAAACGATTTGTTTTTTAGGGGGTTGTGTTAAAAAGTTTCTTTTTACTGTGTACTATACACTGTTCGATCGCGCAAACTGGTTCTTATTCGTTTGGAATGCCGCCAATCTGATGGCCAAAGTGGCCAATAATACGTAATAAGTAACGGCGGCAAGGAACGAGCGAATACGTGACGGCCTTGCAAACTCTGCTTCATTGCGTTGTCAAGAAGCCTGACCAGATCCTGTTGAAGCACCAGAAATGTAATTTTTAGCAGTTTCAACAAGGACTACGAAAGAAATTTACGTCGTCCTGCGGTTTCCTTCCTCTAGGAAACTCTCCTAGCTGGGAACCACTCGCTAGGTATCCCTACAGAGTAGTTCTGGGCAAGGTCGAGGAAGGAGAGATCGCACATGGCTCCTTTGTTAGAGAACTGCTCCAGCATTCGCCTAATATTGATCAAGAAGAGCATTAGAAAATGCAATCTTACAGTGTGGGATAACGGAAGCCATGGGAAAATATAACTAATAGATCTTTCTCTCTTATTCCATTCCAAGTCGACGCAAGTCCAGTAATCTAATTTGATGTGTTTCATTTTAAGTTGTTTATGGGATTTAATTTTGCTCCTCTTAAACATGCACGAGCCGCCACTATACAATTGTTTATTATCCACAACAGATATGATTGATTTACTCCTAGATCGAACTCCGCCACTATCTGGAAAATTCTAGCGGCCGGCTGCTCTGATCGGTAGTCTTTCTTGGTTTCTGCGATCATTATCTGTCGAACGCCAGAGCAGTACCCTAATAAACAGGCCACGGACCGCGCGCGATCTTCCTTTCCTCTTTCTTGTCCTATCCTCTCCCTTATATATACATTTACACGTATATGCACTTCACTGCCATACATGCATGAAGCTTTGACCTTGTCCCGGCTGGGGAGGTAACCCGCTGGGGCAACTACCTGGAAACACAAATCCCCCACAAGTTGAAAAGTAGGTCAGCCATTCACCCAGATCTTCCCATTCAGCGGGGAAGGAACAGGGACGCCTCACGGGATAAATACATTCACTATACTAACGGGACTAATAGCCATAACAGTTGGCGTAACCATCATTCCCATCAATCAATAAATCCACAATTGATTGATAGGTAGACCGCACTAAGTTAATTTTGCGTGTAAATTACACGCGAACATGACAATACGCAGGCATGTGAAAATGCACGAGTTACTGGCCCGGCGCTTCTGCGGGCACGGCCAACTTCCCCTGGCTCCGCTCACATTTCCCGTCCAAGTCCGGAAAAGGAGGGTACGTTATACTCGCGTAAGCTGTATCGAAGTAGGTAAGAACAAAGCGCAGTCAAAATATCAAGAGGAATTATTGCTTCATGCGAAAATAATGTTTGCGAGATGTTTTCTTACAAACAAAATTTGAGTTGTTTATATTATTTATTTCATTATTTTCTTTTTAATTAATTTATTGTAAAATTATTTTTCCCTGGGAACAGGTATTCGTTTGAATGACAAATGATTTGCTTGTTTTTGTTTTGTGTAATTTTTTATTAATAATTTTGTTATTTGTTAAATACGGCAATAATATACCCTAAATTATTTTGTCTCTATGTAGAATATTTCCTCTAGAAAAACCCTCTTAGATTTGTTATATCTCTTACGGGCGGACAGCTGTTTTAACAGACAAGAACACTTGTTTCAAATCAGAATGTAGGGCATTATTGAAAATATTGTACTCTTAAATAAACGCATTATGAAATCACGATCCTTTCGATCCAAAGGTTTAACTGTACTAGTTTTATGAATGGAGAAAAACGTGTATCCGAAAACGTAAAGGAAATGTTTTATATATACCAAGATTTGTAATGGAATTATTGAAGGATATCCTGCTACCCACCCTAAAAACGTAATCACATAATTATAATGGCTGAAAGTTTTTATGAATGGGTAAGAAGGGTAAGAAAGGAGGCTGTGGTCAAAATTTCGAGAGGGAGCCCCAGGGCCGGATTCAAGGGTGGGCAAGGCGGGTGGCGGCCCAGGGGACCCCGCCCGCCTGGGAAAAATTGTGGGTTTTAACAAAAGTCATACCATGTAAATCAAATTCATATATTTTTATCTTTTAATTTTATATAATATTATTTAATTTTATCTTGAAACAGCCTATTTTTCTGTAACACATAATAGCAATTCAATAAGCAACCAGGATGCTTTCCCTAATGTAAAAATCATTTTGAAATTTTATCTTATTTTGATGATAATTAATTTTACTGCTCAAAGATCGTTTTCAAAATTAAAAATTGTTAAAAGCTGATTGCGAGCGGCATTGAATCAACAACATCTCAATGATATCGCTATTTTAAGAAGCATTACCGATATTCCGAGAGAAGTTTTGACGACGTGATTGATGATTTTCGGCAAGGAAAGTTAGTAAAGTGCCTCTTTAACATAATGTAAATGCATGTATTTAATGGTTACCAAAAGATAGTAAACACAGTTAAATGTACCCACTAATTTTTGTATGCACAAACAGTCAATTCAACTTAAACTTGCTCTCTTCGCTTCGCAACTATAACGTCATTATGTAAGAATATTCTTAAAGTATAATCTCACATGCTTGCTCTCGAAGATTGCAGCTCGCAAAACAAAAAGACAAATATCATACAATTGTAGTTGAAAATGACGTAATGAACTAGTGACGGCAAATATGCTTTCATTCTATTAATTTTAAAATACTAATAATATTTAGTGTTTCTACTATAAAATCAGTTAATCTGAGCTGGTACCAGTTACTGTAGGGTAGTAGTTAACTCACTTAGGGCCGACTATCTTTCATAAAAAAGAATCACCAAATATGGAGTAGAAAATGTATGCATGTACGTATGTATGTCGTTTCTTGCTCGTCCGTCCTTTTAAATGTTTTTTTAATGAATTGTTTAAAATCTTAACGTGTGTGAAATAAGGAAACAATTTATGACACAAGTACTACTTTGAATGTGATGCAATCAAAGTGCAGTTTTATTTTTGAATAAATTGGGTAACGTTTTTAAACGTTATGGAGGAGAGCATCTCACTCCCGGATCTCTCTTGGTGAAGGTTTGACGATTACTGAGATTGCGAAATGCCGACCTTCGCGAATTCCGAAGAAAATTACACTAATATTGGACGCTTATTCATGCATGCAAAATTATCATCGCATGACTGCATCCTATCAATTTTTTTTAATCCTAATGTTTGTGTCTGCGATAGCCCACTGCGTTCATGTACTAATGTCCTTGCGCCATGATGTTATATCATTCTCCACACAGGGCCGAGTTAATATCTCAAGGAGACGAAAGTCCGACCGAACGAGGGGACCACTTCATAATATTGATATATTATAGTAATTAACGAAACGAGTGTATAAAGAGGGGAATAATTTCATGAGCGGTATGTTCAAGAAAACGAGCGACGATAGGAGCGAGTTTTCTTATACACCGCGAGTGCAATTATAACCTTTTATACACATGTTACGTTCAATAATTTTTCTTTTTCATTAAAGAAAAATTTAAATTTTTAGAAATTCAAGCACATCTTTACTTTTCGAGGTATAGGACATTTGATGACTATTGCTTGTGAGATCTATTTTAGTGGACCTTGCACTGTTTGTTTGCAAGAAATATTTGCTTATGGAAGGGAATGAACACATTGCGGATAAAATATTAGCAGAAGCTGACAAAGTCATGAAAACAGTACTTCCCACGAAAAGTACAAACAGGTATGAGAGCGAATGTAACATGCGTAAGTATTGAGAAGTAAAAAAAAAAAACAGCTACAAAAAACAACTAGTCACTTCTGACAAAGTTTTGCTATAGTATACTTTTTATAACTGGTGAACACAAATGATGTTTACACATTTTTACATTTGTAATTCTAAGACCCAAGGTTTTACGTGTAAAACATTAAATTTTATTCGCGATAAATATTTTATTGTGTTCCATTAGTCAGCTAGCTTAACGTTTACTTCGCCAATTTAATTTTATTAATTCATTGTTTATATGTGCTTCTAGGTACGTAATCTGTGATGAAGATTTTTATTCTTGTTTCGTGGCCGACTGGAAATATTTTTGCTACGTATGTGTCTTACTTAAACGATTTTGCAGCATTCTGAATTTTCATTGGTAGACGTGGATTTTTAATTGCACGGTGGAATTTTAATTGCATACGTGCTATTAACATTAAGCTCTTTGCATGGATGCATTTGCATAAATTTTGCATGGAATTAATGAGCATATTTAGTAAGCTAAAGGAAAAAATATATACCATATGAAAACTCAACCATGATCTTCGAAATTTAAAAAGTTCTATCTATGAAATCTATCTTAGATTTTAAAACAAAAAACGTCACATTCTATGCGTAATGAAGACAGAGGATATAGATTCTCCCGAGTCGAGGCACGCTTAAAGGATTTTTTGCAATTGAGAAAATGAAGTTTTGCTGAGCATTTAGTGATCACGATAGCAAAATATCTATCGCAATTTTTCCATTTAAATGACGTCGTTAATAATATTGTAAGACAATGATTGAGCTATTTTAAATTTTATTTTTCACTGAGTTATTACTCTACCTTATCATCAAAAACTTGGAATGTGGAAATCGAAATGGCTTTGCGAGGTAAGGGGCGATCATTCTTCCCAAGTCTATTTTTAATTTACACATTACATCATGGGAATTGAATTGCATTGAAGGTACTTTTTTGTTACAAAAATCAGAATCCTAACGTCAATTTTACCAGAATAATGATAAAAACATGCGATGCGAAATTTTGTTGACATCTGTGTCTCGTAAAGTGCCTGGTGAACCCAGTGCGTGTTGTTGTTGTTGTTGTTGTTGTTGTTGTTATTATTATTATTATTATTATTGTTGTTGTTGTTGTTGTTTTGTTGTTACTAGTATTATACATCTTATATATAGATACATTCCTATGTTTCGAGTCGGCAGAATATAAAATATACTCCAGGTTGCAACCAGGTACCAAAGAAACAGATCTAGTGACTGTCGGTGCCTCTACAATAAATTTTGCGCAAAATGCGGACTGTTCCAAATAAAGCAATTTCTTGCACTTTCCAGTCTTTTGAAAGGCCTAAGAGTTTTGCCAAGTTCTTACACAAATTTTGCGGAACAAATCTCAGAGGTCCGATGATTATCGGTACGACCGGTGCATTTACGGCCCACATTGAAGCTGATCTCGATTTCCAAACTCTTTAATTTAAGACGTGTCTCTGCCTACGAGGTTTTGATCGCAAGGCACAGCAACATCTACAAGTAGACACGATTTTTCTCCAAATCCCAGATAACAATATCTGGTTTGTTTGATGCTATCATGCGATCCGTTTGAATTTGTTGGTCGTACGATATTGTATAGAGTATAACAGATGTCTCGCTTCAGCGGCGTGCCATGGCGTGTGTACTTGCGGTGCTTCCGGTATAACTTCGTAGAACGGAAGGAGAACGTCTTACGCATTTTGTTATATAATTCTTTGTTTGTACGTCTTCATTTATTTAAAATAATTATTAGGAAAATACAAATATTTTTAAATCTTAAATAAATGTATAGACAATTGTATAGCTAGTGATATATTCAAAATTAGATTTACATCTCTTGAAATTAGAATTCAGTTTCTTCTCTACTTCTCAGGAGCCATAAGGACGTCCTTAGTCTGCTTATGTATTGAGCAATTTCTTTACCTTTGTGTGAAACTAATGAACGACGTTCGTATTATTTAGATTTATTTTGTCAAAAAAACAACAACAAAAAAAAACAACAAAAAAAAACAGTGAAAACTGTATGTGACGAATGCGGGAGAAGATAATCTGTGCACGTTTTCTTGAATACCAGAATGCCTTCCCATCATTTCAACATAGTTGAAAGAGAGTAAAAATTAAATATAAATAAATAAATAAAAATAAAATTTAAAAATGCGCGAGATTAGCGACATTTGAAAAACTAGACATTTTCGTTTCCGAGTTATAGAAAACTTATTTGCAACGGTAAACGAACTGCAGATTTTATTTTCTGCATTGCTAACAAAATAGTAACTCGCCCTTACCACTACTTCTACCACTATAAGCAAAAGGATAGTTCAACAAAATTATTTATAAAAATTTATATATATTTAAGAAATATTTAATTTAATAAATATTTATACAAATTATCATTTGTTAATTGCTTTATTATTATTCCTTAATGATAATTACCAGGGCAAGTTGTATGTACTAGTATACTTGTTTCTTTGTTAAACACTAAGAAACATTTGCCATATGTTTACAAATTTGTATTTTTATAAAGATTGAAAACATTTTTGTGTCCTTCTATTCCAGGATAACTGACATATCTTCTTTAATTTCAACATTTTATTTTTAATATGTTCATGGTGAAATACCTGAACTCACAAATAACTAAATGGAAATACGATTTAATTAACTGGGAAATAAAAACAATATACTAGTGCTAGAATATATAGAATTACATGAATCTAAATATTCACATATTTACATGTTTAAAGTATGGAATAAAATATTTACTAAATATTAAATAAAATGACAAAAATAGTTTATTGATTTAACATTACACACGTAGAACAGTTTAGGAACTTTTAACTTTTGATATTGCTCAACAAGATTTAATCATTTCTTCTATTCAAATATTCTAGACATTTCTGTATTCCTGGACCAAAAGTTCCATCATACTTTTCTGGCAATTGATCGTTTTCAAAGGAGGGAGGTGCAGAGCGCTGTTTTAAATTTTCAAATTGTGAAAGTTTCAATGTGAAACAGTGCCTTTTGTCCCTTAAGACTACTTTGAAAATAAAATGTTGAAATATAAAACGATTTGTTAGTTATCCTGGAATATGTGAAGATATGTGCAGGGTCTGAAAATAGGACAAATGTAGATAATTAAATGTTTTTTAAAATTATTTCAAAAAGCATTATTTGTAAACATATGCCAACAGTTTCTTTGTGTCTGACAAACATCAAGTATGTAATTACATGAAAATCCTAGACCTGGTAATTATCGTTAAGAAACAATAAAAAAGAGACAATAATTAAATGATAATACGAACATCAATCATACAAAGATCATACGAAGTTTCATAATAAGATAAAGATATTACTTAATCGTTCATATGAATCGTAGGTTACGCGAAATATTTCCTTAATATCGTCGTCTTTAAATCTCTGCGAGTTGATAAGAGTAAATTCGTTCATGAAAATCTGCTATTGCTGCTTGCTAGTACACCACTGCCCTGAATGAATAACAAAATCAAGCGTAAAGAAATTTGGTACACGTCGTAAGTATGGTAAATTCTTTTTTCACAGAATCTTAGAATATTCAATCTCATAGTAATACGTTCTGAAGAGATCCTTCTCGAACGTAATATACTACAAACAACAACAAGAACAACAACAACAACAATAATAATAATACCAATAATATTAACAATAATAATTATCATTTTATTAATGTGGAGAGACTTGGATCATTAGAGCCGCACTTCCACCTAACCACAATTTGTAAATAAAAATTGAACAATGAGTTTTCAAAATTACACTTTGTAAACAACGTATTCGACACAACGTAGATATGTCTTGCCTCGGAGCTCACAAGTGCGAAAATTACGTCCCAGCATTTGCCTTATGCGGCCGGAGAAAACCAGGGAAAAAGGGAAGTGTGCAAGCTCTTCAACATTGAGCAACAAAATAAAATACTTAAAATAATTTTTTAAACATTTGACGCAGGAAAACACTAAGCGCGTGTCCGAAAACAAATTATGAAAAATATAAACTTAGCGATATGCATAAAATGGTGACCCAAAATCTCAAACATTAAAGAATCATAAAACCATGATGAGCACACAACCTCCAGGCCAGGACGACGATTTTAATTTACGTCATGACAATTTACAATCTTAAAGCTAAAATCAGGTGTGTGTTCAAATAATAATTGTTTATTGTTGTAAGGTTCAAAAGAAGAAATAAAAAAACTTTAAGTTCAGGAAAGAACAAAGCAGTAAAAAGTAAGAACTGAAAGCTTTGAATTTAGAATACAAAGTTTTCTTCTGTTACAATTTCGTGAAACGCGGACGTAAGTATAGGCACACCCAAAAAGGTAATTACGAATCAATTTGCACTGCTTTAGTACTTTGTTCATTTCCCTTTTCTGCGAATTACGGTCTTAAGTCTATTTTTTATCGAAAGAAGTAAGTTCTCAGTGCGTTTGGCTTCCATTTCATGCCTATTTTATGCAGCAGCGCGTTCAGCGTGTCCTTGCTGGCTACGTTTGGATTGCATACCCGTCTGACCAGTTCTTCTCAGAGATGTTCAGTGGGATTATCGCCTGGGACCATGCAGTTGATGAGGGATGCTGTACTCGCTCCACAGTCGAGACGAGCTATTAGAGCAGTATGTTTAGGACCATTGACATATTAGAAGTAAACTTTATTTCACGAATCCAATTTTTCGGCACTCTTTCTCAGATTTGGCTGTGTAATGCCCTTATAAGTGTTCTTGGCCATTGTCCCATCAATAAATACATTTTACGCATTCTTGATGCTGCCTTGTACCCCACACCACGACACCACCTCCGTATTTAACGGTAGGATAGGTATTGTTCGTATCTAATTCTGCATACTTTTTCTTCATCTCCCGGACTCACCCATCATTGTGAATGATATTAAACTTACTATCATATGAAAATATAAATTTCTTCCAGAACGCCAGAAGTTCTTCATAACGTAATTATTGACTAGTTGCTGTCTCCTCTTCATATTTACCTTCCTGAGGAAGGACTTCCTTCTTAGTATTCTTGAATTATATCCGAATGAATTTAGCACTCTTCTTATAGTGCTGGGATGGACTCTTTACCCTCATACTCTTGCGTTCCTGCTGCTATTTGAGTGGCTGAAATGTTAGGATTCCATTTCACTTTTCGGATTAGTTGTCTCTTCTCCTTGCTGTCAAGTTTCGATCCATCGAAACTATTCACTCTGCATTGGTTATATTTTTGTTTATTGAATTTTTTCAACACAGAACGAACTGTAAAGCGGCGGCGGTGTATAATTCGTGCTATCTTTCTCGTGCAATGTCTTCATACGATTTGCGTCCTTTGCACAAAATTACTATAATAGCTATTTTTGGAGGTTTCATTTCCTTACTTTTTCTTCCCATATTTCTTTTCGCTGTGAACACTGGTTATATCTTCATTCAAAATGTTTTTAATCTGCTTTCGACAACTGTGCTGTCACTAATACGCCGTTGCGTGTGATGCATTTATACTTATATCTTTATATGTAGCACTCCTAGCGGACGCGTTTATTTCTTCTCAGCAATGGAGGTTTCAATTCGTGCCATCTACGATGAAAATAATGATGTACATATATACAGCTTCGCCCCATCAACAATATATTTCAAAAGCAATTTATTGTGAGTTGTGAAAGGGTTGAGTTTGATGTTCGAAGTTCTTCTGTGCTTATACGTTTGCCTGTGACTGTACATGGCGAGGCCCGGGCCATCTGACCCGTTCTTCCGACTAACAAAATATTCAAGGTTCGCAATACCTGGTCATCGTAAATCAACGAGCCTCCATTCCCCTCCCTCCAATCTCAACCTGAAAGTCTGCTTGTTTTAAAATTAATTGGGGACACCCAACATGTGAGACGCTGACAAGGTTACCAGGAACTTGTTATTGGGGGCGGTAAATACTTTCAGTAATATTGATTCGATCGTCATTTAAGCTTAGTAAATGTGTTATAAATACTACTAAAATTATTAAGGATGCTCTTTCAAAAAACAATAATGGAAATATAGGGAAATTAAAATATACGGATTTATACATCGTAAGAATCTTCTTTGTGCTTTTCAGTTAAACCTCGGCAAACAACTTTTCCGAGTTACACGTTGTTACTGGCTAGCAGCATAAATGTTTTTCACTTCGATTTGCACGGTATCTAGGGAATCCTACGATATGGGAGGAGACGCTGCTATTGCTTTTCGCTAGAAAACAATTGTTGGCACCACAACGTGACTATATTAAACGTAAAGTAATACCTATATAATAAATTGGTATAATGAATACGTTTTATTGTATTGACTTTTAAACGTTTTAATTGTAGCTTTATATATTTTCATAATTTGTTAATAACCGAAGTTGACAGTTGAATGGCTAATAACCAATTTAAATTCTCGAGAAGCAGTGAGTATGGTTATATCGAATATCTTATCTCCTGGTTTCGACTACAATGCAAAACTACAAAATGAAACAGAATGTACTTAATGAAGAATGTTACATGATACTATATCACAGCTGCTTCGTTTTATATCACTTTTTACTTAGTCATTTGTATTAATTACATTTTTGTTCTAGATTTTTAAAAGTTTTTGGTAATTAAGGACAATGCATTGTTTTCATTGAATTCAAAATGTACATTAAAATTTTGATCTAGGATTTTCATACCGCGTTAATGAAGGATTCAATAATTGGTTACGATTGTCAAAATCACATTATTAAATACAAAACGAAGGAATGGAATTGAAGTTCCACACGATTTTAGAGTGGGTGTTCGCTCTCATGTGGATCACTTCACTTTAAAGTAGAAGGGTTTGCAAATTGTTTTCATTCACTATCATAATTTATGAATAAATATTCAATACGATAGGAGAATTTTTCATTCGCATGTCAAGGTATTATTAAATCATCATTTATATCACCATTACCATTTTTTAAACTTTCGGATCAACATTTCTTTTCTGTTACATTTGTTACACTACAGTTCATTTGCAGAACAATGTTTGATTTCTCGTATGGTATAATTGAGAAATAGTATATAATTATATACCAGTATTTATCCTAAGATATGGTAATACTGATGTAGAGTTCGATGCCCACAGCAGTCGTCCTGAGCTTGCTTCATTGTGGGGGGTTTCAAGGAGAGCTGCAGAAATCCCTATTTTTAGAATATCTCCACTGGAAGTTATAAATAGAACGTCTTTGCTTACTCTGGAAACTGAGCTAATCGCGGCCTGCCTTTGCCATCCTAAACGTGGAGATACCTGGAGTAGGTTTTGAGACTCGTGTGTTTTCAAAAGTAATTTCCAAGTAACGACTGATCTAGTGCGACTACTTTTCAATTAAAAAAGTACATTCAAAACTATTAAAACAGTTAATAAGTGTATATAATGTGCGATTAGAATAGCAGTAAATGATTTGACGTACTATTATCACTTACAACAGGACATGGGAGTATGTGAAAATGAATATTTCATTAGAGCCCGGATTTATTTTACCTAAAATAGGTAGGCAAACGGCATTTATTTTTACTAAAATAGGCATGCAAAAAGGCATTCATTCTAGCTGAAGTAGGAGTGCAAAAACGCATGAAGACAATGAAAAATCATATTTAAAAGGAAATATTGTACAAAATTAATAATTAAAATTATACACATTTTTGTTAAAACTCTAAAATTTACATTAGCATTTAACTTGTAAGTTTTCTTTTTAATGTTGATTCCACATAATCACGCGGTACGATGGCTACGAACTTCCTTTACTCGCGACGCCATCTCTTAGAAATACTGTTGGGAAGTCCTGTTTGGATCTGGATATGCCATCAGTGAAAGCGGATTCATTTTTTCGTTCTTCGCTCTTGTGTAAGCCAGCACTAATAAGGGTGTACCATACACAGATGTTCTCCGTACTCAAAGTAGGATGGGCTTCCTCGTGAGGGAACAAAATCTCGACTGGTATCATCTTTCTTTTTTATTTAGATTTATATTACAACCTCTGCTTCCACCGAAAGACAAAACACAATCGTGTTGTACAGTCTTGCAGGAATACATCAAACTTGATCGCGATCAGTGGTAGTAGGGAAAAAAGCGAAATCAAGAGGAAAAACGCAGAAAAAAGGCAAAAAAAAGACGAAATGACAAAAACAGGAATCAGAAGCTAAAATAGGCAAAATGAAAATATAGTAATAATGAGGGAAAAAGCAGAAAAGGTAAAATGTAGACAAAATTACAAAATTAGGCATCAGAAACTAAAATAGGCAAAAAAGGTAAAATGAAAATCTACTAAAACAACCCCAGAAGTGCAATTCTGTGATTCTTGTTAAGTCATAAAATAGTAGAAGTAAAAAAGACTTTTGCCAAAGTTCCGGGCTTTGCATTATCAATTTAAAACCGAGTTGTCAATGAAAAGAAAAATAATTAAAAATGTTTAATAACAATTAACCCAACAATTATTAAAAATTTTTCTTTGTGCCTGGACGCAATTGAAGTTTTAAATGTTGAAGTTGTAGAACTGGATCTAAACGTAGGATTTCACAATTTACTTTCTATTGCCGAATATTTTTTTTGTTTTATCTGTAGGTAATGCTTCAGTGCTGTTGTTGTGGGATCCATTTATTTTAAAGTTCTTGATCTGTGATATCATTAACCATCATGAACCATGTTATAAAAGCCATACTGAATATAGATCACTAAAGCCCAGCTCAATGCTTATACTGCTAATTCCCACAGAATAGCTAGTATTCACAGAATAAATTTATTTGACTGTTGAAAGAAAAATGAAAGTACGTCACCGTTAATTGCACTGAGGAAGAAATCGATATTTTTTGTTGTTAGACATCTTGGATTAGTTGTTTAAATGAATACTTACTTGGCATTGGTCACTCAGCATAGTACGTGGTCCAGTTTCCCTGATCCATTGAGCAAATGCTGAGATGGCTCCTTGTTTTGCTTCTGGATGTAAATGTAACTTCACCATGCGCACGTTTTGTTGAACTCTCCTTTTGCTTGTAATGGTAAGAGTAGAGGTAAGGGCGAGTTGCTATTTTGTTAGCAATGCAGAAATATCATACTTGCAATTCGTGTACCGATGCAAATAAGTTCTCTATAATTCAGAAACGAAAATGACTATTTTTCAAATATTGCTAATCTTGCGATTTTTAAAATTTATTTTTATTTATTTATGTTAAACTTTTACTCATCTTTCAACTATTTATAGTTAAAATGACTGAAGGAATTCTGGAACTCAAGAAAACGTACTCAGATAATATTCCCCTCCCCTACATCACATACAGTTTTTACTGTTTTTTTTGTTTTTTTTTTGTTTTTTGTTGTTGTTTTTTTTACTGAATAAATCTACGCCTTCATGATTTCTGAATCTACTAACCTTGTTCGCACTGATTTCTCAGCATTTCTTCATTTCGTAAATTATGTTGACTTTACTTTGTTTTGTTTTAACCGTACAAGTCCTTAAAATTACTTCTAAAGAATTTCTTTTTGGCTAGAAAACAAGTATAATTCCAAACAACTAAGAGAATATGTTGTATTGTGTTCTAGTGTAAGTAATTATATAATTATCTATTTATCAGTACATTTCATTTATTGTTTTTTTTAATATAAGAAAATGAAGATGAATGATATTTTTTTCGGAATCGTCCCCGCAACATCGCTTCAAAGATTCAGAGCTGGAGTCGGTCATCCAGAACGACTCCGCCGCGCGCGCGCAGCCGTTGTCCATGCAGAAGAATTTGGGAACCCTCGAGGAAGTACGGAATCGCCCCTGAAGGACGACCAGTTTTATGGTCTCTTGAGAGGGAGTCCCGAAACCGGAGGCGGTCCACCGGCCCGACGCCAGTTACATAAAGGCAACCGGAGCCGCCCGAAACCCGCCACGTGCTGGCGGCCGGCACGAGAGCCGAGCTGGCCCCGGCGCTCTATTGGAGTCACACACACCCTGCCCGCGCCGAGAACGTTATACACAAGTTGAGATGGCTCGGTGAACAACAACCGCTACCGCAGCAGCCTTTCTGACGAGAGGTCCTAGGGTTCGAAATCTGTCTGTTGACACTAGTGTAATGGCTAGTTCGAATTCAGCACGTGTCTGGAGGAGAATCCCACTGCTCTGATCGATTATTTTACGTGGTCTCTCCCATCAATATCAGGCGAAGTCTGCAGCAGATCCCTAACAAACAGGGCATGGACCGTGCACGATTTCTCCATTCTCATCCTTGTGCCTCCTCTCCCTTTACTTTTTTTCCCCTCAAACACTAAATAGTTACTTATGTTGTTAGAGCGATTGAAACAATTGAAACAGCGATACGGAACAGCGGATACACGTTTATTTATTTATTTACTTATTAATTAAAAAACAGGTAAGACTATGTGAAGGTTGTAGCAAAAACTGTACAGTTAGTCTTTGTGAATTATATGACGGTGAAGTGAAGAATCTGACGCGATGTGTACTACTATATTTCTATATAACTACACTATTTCTGATTGCTAAAATCCCATTTGTATAAACTGCAATTGATCAGTAAGTATTAGGGTAAAATGTGGAACGAATACTGCGCATCAGCTACAGTAAGCACCATTATGTGGTAATGATGCTCCGATGAAGGCTTAATAAATAGCCCAATAATTGGTAGCAGAATGATATTTTATTTCATCAAAGTACAAACATAAATTAAAGAAATCACCCAATGATAAATCCAGGATGAAAAGGAACATATCGAAAAAGGTTAAGGAAAGGTGAGAATGAAATGTTGAAGAACGGTATACAGCGTCAACGTTTGTTCGAGAGATAGAGCCGCATTTTACATTACTTAAAATGGGAGACAAAAGCTACCTGCTTATGGCTTGAAGCCAATTTTTGTTTCTTAGAAAATGACCTTGGATGTCATACAAGCAAAAAATTATTTAAATTTTCTGGTAAGCACGAGACATTTTCTTGGCATGAGACTTTCTTTATTACGAATATTTTCTTAAAGTAACCACTTCTCTCGTGGCAGTTTGTTTTGTGTTTATGGAAACGAAATACATGCGATTCCGTTTATGGTCAATCTCTGGGGACTAAAATGTATGCTTCCCTAATTCAAAGGTTCACAATATCCAATAATTCCAAAATACAATGAGTTTTTCAATTATGATTGATTTTATTATTTCAGAGACGCAGTAAATATAATAATATCCAACAATCGCGAACTCAGAACTTGAATACCTTATTGTTTTGTTCACACTTGATTCTACATTGTTCACACGGTCCCTTACAGGTTTTCGGGCAGTCGAGATTCAAGTACCTGAAGAAGTTGTACGGAGCTCTAAAAATGGTTCTAAGGACCGAAGCGTTGTACATATCATGATTACACAATACAATATGTGTTGTGAAATGCATGTCTGTTACGAAATAAATTATTTCTTTACACTAATGGTGTACCCTTACTTTCTTGCATAATTAGGCGAAAAGTGCTCAAATGTTCAAAAAATTGTACCTGACCTCATTTAAAAATCTCTCTTTAAGGAACAAATTTGGTTAAGAAGAAATATCTCTATCTTTAATATTTTAGTTGAAGGAAGACGTCGAAATATTTTGAACTTTTGTAATTTTCGAAAAATTAGAGTTTTAACCAACATCTGACCTGCACCATATCAATTGGGGAATATCAGTTTTCGAGAATATTGACTGATCGGTTTAGCCATTAGCGTTGTTCACAGACGGACAGACGTTTTGCCGTCATTCGATTTTTCGGTATCAAGGACACATAAAACATGGATTCTGACTGCAGAAGAGGATTAGAAATTTTGTGTCTAAATTTGTCAACTGGTTTTATCCACTTTTTTTGTTACTAGGGCCCTTTTCTGCATAAGAGGTTTTCTGCCGAAATTCGCCTTTTTTCGCGTAGCATTACATAACTTTCTAATGCGTAAGCGGTAGCGTGAAAGTAAAAATCACATACTCAGACGTTATTATTAATCTCTGATTATAAATATTACACACAAGAATAAACATTTATTGTGTAATTTGAGGCGATTTGTAAACGTTTTTATTTTGATAATTGTTTGAAAAACAATGTTCACAGATTGACGCGAAAGTATATTTGTTTACATTGTTACAAAGTAAAATAATGTTGCCAAATGTTATTGAGATGCTTATATGCAATGTTTCAAAAAGCACATTAAAGATCGCGTATGCTTCAAAAGGATAATTGAGATACTGGATCTCTACATCCAGAACAATGATAAAAGCACTGAGATAAGGCCGCGGGCTACCATTAGCAATGTTATAGG